TGCTTTCCAGAAAGAGGAAGATGAGGCGGAGGAAGCGGCCGGAGATACTGAAGTGCTCGCTGCTCGGGGGAAGCGTGCTGAATTCTGGGCGCGAGCAGGAGACAAGGTTAGTGGCGTCATTTTCAGGCCGGTGATATCCCGCTTTCGCACACTGACACCGTTTTCACGGGCTAGGACAAAGCTATTGAATCTCATGAAGCACTCCTCGAGAAGACGACTTTCCTCGGCACCAAGATTGATCTGGTACTGGCCATGATCCGCATTGGGCTTTTCTTCGGCGATGCTATGTATGTCAAGAAGAACATTGAACGGGCAAACACGCTCGTCGAGAGTGGTGGTGATTGGGATCGGAGAAATCGTCTCAAGGCATACAAGGGCCTGCACTTGCTCACGATCCGCTCGTACAGCCTTGCTGCTCCTCTACTGCTCGACAGTCTGTCTACTTTCACAAGTTACGAATTGTGCAGCTATTCTGCATTAGTCATCTACTCCGTACTCGCCGGTTCGCTTTCTCTGAAGCGAGTTGACTTTAAGGCCAAGGTTGTGGACGCGCCAGAGATCAAGGCTATCCTCGGATCCGGTGAGGATCGTATAGCTGCTTTGACCGGTGAGGTATCGTCCGGCCTCGGTGCTCAGGACGAGGAAATGAAGGATACCACAATGTCTCGCTCTACCCCCAAAGCTACTTCCACCGTGGTTAACTTGACTACCTTGGGCATTGGCTCCGGCATCGACGCCGAGGCCGAAGTTCCCGTCGACTTCTCTCCCCTCGCCAACTTAGTAGACAGTCTCTACACTGGTAACTACCGGTCATTCTTCGTGGCCTTGGCAGCTGTCGAGGACAACTTCTTGACTCAAGATCGGTATCTGTATGAGCATCGCGCTTGGTTTGTCCGGGAGATGCGGCTCCGGGCGTACCAGCAACTGCTCCAGAGCTATCGGGTGGTCGGTCTGACCAGCATGGCCAATGACTTCGGTGTTACGGTAGACTTCTTGGACCGGTAAGTTTTCGTGCCCGGGATGTTGGAGCTACTATCGCTAACAAATAGCAGGGATCTGGCCAAGTTCATCGCCAGTAACCGTATCGCATGCACTATTGACCGGGTTAATGGCATTATTGAGACGAACCGCCCCGATGACAAGAACAAGCAATATGCTGATGTTGTCAAGCATGGCGATGCTTTGATTACGAAACTGCAGAAGTACGGTCAGGCCGTGCGACTGCGTGGGAGCGAACGGAGCTAAAGGTATCCAGAAGAGGAGAATAGAAAGGGATGGTCTGATTCTAAGAGTATCCTGTGACCTATGAAGCTGTTTCATAATCTCTCAAGGATACGAAGGATCGAATGGTATATTAAATTTGTTCACATGATCAGTGTTAGAGCAAAAACAAGCGAGGCTGCTGTATCATACGTCTAATGAACGAAGACAACTCTGACCTCGAGCGACGTAATGAGGATATCATGCAATGAGGAAACCTTCACGACGGGAAGTGGGCTGACCATATCTAGTGTAATGTAACGCAGGAGCCTTGGCAAAAAGGGTTGGAAATCGTTCTCCGTAGATCTAATCCTTATATAGAGTTCTAGTAAAGTTCCACTTTTTTTTTCTTTTTTCTTTTTTTTTTTTCTTTTTTTTTATTCGGCTTTTTTTTAAAGTTGCGTAATAGTAATATAGTATACATGTAGCGTTCGCGGTAGAATACCTAGAGAAAGATCTATAGATTAGAGGGTGGAGTAAATGATACAATTGAAGAGATGTCCCGTCATAAACAGGTAAGAAATGGTAGGAAAAAATAATAATTCATTGAATTTTATATAATACGACGATACAACCATCAAGATTTCCGTGCTTCCCCGGTGTCTCGGAATCCACCGGTAGGGGGAAAAACAGAGCGGAGTACCCGTGGGGTAAGAATTTCAGGAACATTACGGGGGAGATTTCCTGCAATAAGTCTGGGTCTTATAGACTTTCAGTGGATTTGTTTTGACGCACCAGATTATACTTTGGTATTACCATTAACAATGTCAAACTGATCCACTGTGGTAATGACAAAAAAAAATCAAAATGAAAAATAAAAACTGAAAAAAATAAATAATATATAAATCAATTAAATTAAAAAAAGAACTCTTCAATACTAAATACACTACAGAGTATACAAAGCCTTATCAATACATTCCCGTGATATGCCTGATGAGTCAGCCTCCGATCGGGAGTCTTCACCGCCCAGAGAAAATCCCACGATTCAATCATTAAGTTCTCTGGGATTTCTTTTATCCCTCGTATTAAGCCCTTGTTGTTCCTCGTTGGTCTTTCTATACGACGCCGGGTAAGACGCCAGTTCCAGGTCTTTTGTCGTATCAGGAAAAACCCCCACGGACAAAAAGAGGAATTTAAATCGCGCAATTGGCTTCAGGATTAAACAACAAAAGCGTCATGACCTGGCAGTCGAGACTGGTGCGGGCATCTCCGCTTCGATGCTCCCTTACCCGGCCGAATGGCCCGTATAATAATATCCCGCGGGCATTTAGTCACTATGCAAGGTTCCCCGCCGGGGCTTTGAAAGGTACGTTTAGTATTAGTTCCATGGAGCCGATCCCTTCTACACTTGATTCCATTGGGTGCCTCTTTAGTCAGTTGCCTGTAATTTTGGCAAAGTCACCCGCCGCTGGCGATAACTCCCTCATCCCGTGACAATCCCCCCCTCATGGGAAATATACCTTATTTTCCTTTCTATAAGATTATGAAAATGGAACCCTTTCACGCCATGTTTTTGTTGTCATTCCTCAAAATCCCTCTAAACTGATTGTTTCCTGATCCACACAGCTTCGGCGATGTCCACTCAAACTACCGTCACCTGTACTACTCGTCGCACCTTAGCCACCCCGGCGCTCCGTTGCTTGAACGCCGAGAACATTAACCCTTATGTTAAGGAGGCCAAGTATGCCGTCCGTGGTGAGCTGGCCGTCAAGGCTGAGGAATACCGTGTGAAATTGTCCAATGGCGACAAGTCTTTGCCCTTCGACAGTGTCATCTTCGCCAACATCGGTAACCCTCAACAGCTCGACCAGAAGCCCATCACCTTCTTCCGCCAAGTGCTCAGTCTCCTCGAGAACCCCGGTCTGCTGGAGAACCCGGAAGCCCTTCGCACATCCTTCGGCTACCAACAAGATGTCGTTGACCGGGCCAAGAAGCTCCTTGCGGACGTTCAGAGCGTTGGTGCTTACAGTCACAGCCAGGGTGCCCCCGTCATCCGCCAGAGCGTAGCCAAGTTCATCGAGGAGCGTGACGGCTACCCTGCCAACCCCCAGGATCTGTTCCTCTGTGCCGGTGCCTCGTCCGGTGTCAACACTCTCCTTAACGTCATCTGCAACAGCCCCCAGACCGGTGTCCTCGTTCCCATCCCTCAATACCCTCTTTACACCGCCACCCTCGCCCTTCTCAACGCGCAGTGTGTCCCCTATCTTCTTGAGGAGCAGAAGGCCTGGGGCACTGACGTGAATGCCATCCGCGACTCATTGGCGCAGGCCCGCTCAGCCGGTACTGACGTCCGCGCCATCGTCGTCATCAACCCTGGCAACCCCACCGGTGCCTCTCTGAGCGAGCAAGATATCAAGAACGTCCTGGAGCTCGCCGCGGAGGAGAAGCTCGTCGTCATCGCCGACGAAGTCTACCAGACCAACGTCTTCGAGGGCGAGTTCATCTCCTTCAAGAAGAGACTGCGCCAGCTGCAGCAGGAGACCCCCGGCAAGTATGACAACGTTGAGTTGGCTTCTCTCCACAGTGTGTCCAAGGGCATGGTCGGCGAATGCGGTCAGCGTGGTGGCTACTTCGAGCTGACTGGCTTTGACCCCGAGGTCACCGCCCAGATCTACAAGCTCGTCAGTATCGGACTGTGCCCCCCAGTCATCGGACAGGCTCTGCTCGAATGCATGGTGAACCCACCCAAGGAAGGCGAAGCCAGCCACGAGCTGTACCAGAAGGAATACAACGGCATCCGTGACGGCCTGCACAAGCGTGCCCTCGCTCTGTACAAGGCTTTCCAGCAAATGGAGGGCGTCGAGTGCCAACAACCCCAGGTAAGAATCCAACCTCCCCCCTCAACATAATGAACCCCACAACCCTAACATCTTGCCCAGGGCGCCATGTACCTCTTCCCCACCATCACCCTCCCCGAGAAGGCCATCGAAGCCGCCAAGGCCGAGAACCGCGCCGCCGACGAGTTCTACTGTCTCCGTCTCCTCGACGCCACCGGCGTCTGTGTCGTCCCCGGCTCCGGCTTCGGCCAGAAAGAAAACACCCTGCACTTCCGCACGACCTTCCTCGCCCCCGGCACCGACTGGGTCGAGCGCATCGTCAAATTCCACGCCGAATTCATGGCCAAGTATAAATAAATCAAACAAAAAAGCAAGAAAATTAAACTAGAAGTTTAGCTTTTGTATATTATACTATACATAGGGGCTTACGTGATGCTATGAGAATATATAGATTATACCACTCTTATCCATGTCTTCATCAATATTCTAATACTATCCAGTAGTTATACATTAAATTCAACCTAACATGTGAAAGGTCACTTTCGTTACTCCCATTCCACACCCAGAGAAACTAACAGCGACCTTCCTACTGTCCGCCAGCTAGAAACCCAACTTGAACCCATGGACCTATTCCTATCCCAGCACAGGATGAGCAACGCGCTCAAGCATGAATATATAGAAATCCTGTATAAGCATAGCTACATATACAATAATACAGAAAGAAAAGCACTATCGCACAGTACAGCCAGCAAATGCAGTCTCCTGGTACTATATCGCAGAAAATAAATTCTCCCAAAAGAACCCACTTTAATCATTAACCCTTATACATCCATCCGCCAGGAGATAATCCAACTGAAAATACATGTATACAACATACATATAGAGAGAGAGATATATATATATATATATACTACTACTGTAAGTAGGTAGGTAGTAGGTAGAACAAAAAAAGAAAAAGAATATTGGTAAGACTGGGATTCGAACCCAGGAGACTCTCGTCAACAGGGATTTTAACATCCAACTTAAATCTGTCGCCTTAACCAACTCGGCCATCTTACCAGGCAGTGGAAATTGTTTGTTTGTATAGATATCTGTCCACTTAGGGCTTTTGATCACTCACAGAAAATTCGACTGTGTTTTGGTCAATTTCTTTGTTTATTATTGTCTGCTTTTCTTTTCGTTCTCTATGTTTAGATAGCTAGTGAAGTTAAGTTGGGTTCTCTTTAGTTTATTTATTTGTTTTTATTTGGGTTACTAATTTCTGTACAAGATCCTAATCTAGTATTTCTCCAAGGGGAGAACTAGTTAGTATACTTGATTAGTTAATGAGGGAAGAAATCCTGTAATCACATGAAAAGTACCAAGGTAAGCTGACACATGCCTCCTCGGGAAGATCTACTGCGTACCTAGGACTTTCCCTATCTTTAGCTTTAGATAAATGCGTTCTCCACTAGGTTAAGACTCCCAGCGCGGTGATCGGATCCATCGTTAGCCTTGGATCAATCCCCACTGGATCTCCAGGATGGAAGATGACCAAAACAAGATCAGCATCAGATAAATATCTAAGCCCTTGGAGACCATAAGGGTAAAGTTACGGGGACAAAAAAGAGAAAATCATTCAAAGACGAGAATAAGTCCTATGTACATTTTTGTGTATCAAGTCCACTCTTCTTTCGCTAGTATGCAAATGCAAAAACATGCTGGAAATTTCAACTAATCATGGAGGTATATAACGTAACAGGGGATCACTATCCGCAGCAATATGAAAATCAATAGCAACATGACAAGAGAAAATTCATCCTTTTCGAGAAATTCGTAGAATCAGGCGTCATGTGGATGGGGGCCTTTTGGCCGCGTCCATCAATATTGGCAAAGCCGTTGGTGTGTGCTATCGGCCGACAACCCCGAAGTGCAAAGCATCGGGTATGCAGCCGGGAGCTGGTCTCTACACCTTTTTGTTTCCTTTCTTTGGCCCACTAGACCATATTTTAGTCTCGAAAGCTTGTCCGGCTGCGAATGGTGATATAAGGTGGGGTGAAGTGGACGCAATGCTCTGCATAGCCCGGTGACTGCTGGCTGTAGACGGACAATCAGAAGACGCCGAAGTTGTACTGGTAAGCACTCGGTCGACGTCGACGCTTCCACTCCTGTCCCTCGGAGTCTGGGTTCCTCCTGCCGAGTTTGGCCTGGAATTATTCCAACCGGGGACTAAACACCGAGGGAGGTTTTCTTTTTCTTTTTCTTGCGTCTTGACGGATGACTCGCTTATCGATGTGTTGTCTGTAGCTGACGCATTATCAGCAGTCGAGACACTGTCTGTGGTCGAGAAGTTGCTAGCAGATGACGTAGTGCTTGTGGACATGGTCGTGTTTCTAGGAGATGTGTTGCTTGTTGGCGACGTATCGCCAGTGCTTGGCTCATCTTCAAAGAACTCCTGGCCTTCGCGGATATAGCACTTGGAGATAAGGTCATTTTGAATGCAGAGAACCTTGCACACGGATCTGATCAATGCAAATTTGAATTTGACGGATAATTCAGGATGGGTCGATATTGTGTCGATGAGTGCATCCTTCACATAACCGAGACAAGCGTTCATATGAATGTATTCTATCATTAAGGGGTGCATCAATTCTTGACCCTGGTGCATCCTCCTATATTTTAATTACCATTAGCATTCATTCTGGGCTTCTTCTTTTTTTCGATTTAATTCCACGAAGACAAGGGCGAAAGCAAAGGAATAGAGTCTACTCACCCAACCTTCTCTAGATACTGCCAATACTCAAGCTTGCCAGGGTCGGAGCAAAATCTGGTCAAATACCACTTCCAAAAAATCTTTCTCCGTTGCACGTGCGGGCTGTCCTTTTTGAAGTAGTCTTTTACGGGTGCTTCTGATGCCGTATTTCTGGTTCGTAGAGCGCGAGCCGTGAGCTCGAAATCGAGCATCTTGCCGTAAAGACGGTCGGTGAGGCTCGGTATGGCTGGCTTGAGAAATTTCGAGCCTTTGTTGAATATCTCAATATCCTCTGAGAGCCAATGTTAGCGAATTCATCAAACTAACTGAGAGTCCAGATGGCTCTCGAATCGTTCCGGCATACCATCTGTGAAATCAAGAAATGCATGTAAATATTCCATGCGTTTCCCAAAATCTGTGTACAGTTCTTTCCGCGTGGCGCGCCGGATATCGCTCTTTACGGGGGATACTGGATCCATGTTTATAGAGTTTGTATCGTCGAATTGATTCATACTCATGGTCTGCTGTGCGAGATGTAGAAATGTAGTCGAGGGAGGTTGGGTAGGTGGGTAGGTGGGAGGGGAGGGAGGCTGATGTTCACAGTTCACGATTATACTCGATGCTGGGTGATGTCGATAGGGGTAATGTGAGGTAATAAAGACATTTCATGCATGTTCAGTCTCATTCGGACCTTATAATCCACAGACCCCTGGGATTTATTAAAAGGATTCTTAGGCTTGCAACCGGCTATTCCCGTACCCTGCGGATTGCGCCAAGTAGTACTAACAGGGAGTAATCTGATTGTGGCTGAGGGGTTATTAGACAGACAATTCGATGGGCCTTTCGAGCAGTTATTGACAAACAAGCTTCCGTTGCTGAAAGAGTTTTCAGGACAGTGGCCCATACACTCTGTCACTGAGATCCACAGTCTTGGCCTTACGAATACACCAGCCGAGCTCGCAAGCGAGAATGCGTACAGACCCCGCAGAAGGACTGACTCAGCGATCTAGGATCTCATACACGGTACAGCAGAGCCCATCAAGTTTCGCCAGAGGACGTACCTGCATCATCAGCACCACTCGTGCGAGTCCGAGCACGATCCGAAGTGATACAGCGCCAATGACGTGCCGTTTGCCCGAGTTGGTAAATTAAAATAGATTAAGAGGATATATGATGTACCCCACTTTCTAGTTCCAGACTCCAGAATTCAGCTAAGCCCTCGATCCCTGGACCAGAATGATAGGATGCGGACACCGAGGACGTCGAACCGTACCAGAGAAGGACTCCAACGGTGGGGGGCGCTAATGACTCCCATCGTCTAGGGCACGATCGGATATAACATGTCGGAGTTTTAATCCTAATTTCCTCGGCAGCGTGAGCGTCACTCGGCCACTCGGATATGCCGGTGGAATCAGGTCGATTGGTAACCTACTGGGTGCACCAAGCTAAATCTTGTCATCTCAGTCGGGTCTGTGCTAATTTGCCCACGAACCTGTCAGACAGACATTTGGCGCCATTGGGATAGTGTGGTGGAGACTGGGTCATGAACGTGTAGACCGGGGTATTTCTGGCCGATCAATGATAAGACACTTGTACTATTCGAATCCCAAATCTCCCTTTATACATGCAGCAGTCATACGTTCTCACTCGCTTATAGTTCTGGATTTTCAGAAGGCAAATGCCGCATGTTGATCCATGGTGCTTGTCAGCTCCCATTTCTTCTTGTGAACAGGTGCAGCCGTTAGAAATTGCGAGTGTTTCATCAGCATCAGGGATGGGACAGAGATGGCGTACATTGATCATGCCACCTTTCCTAATGATTATTAGAGAAAGTATGATGTTGAGTGACTTTCCCAATCAGCACTAACGCTTATGCATACTAACAATAACGACGCTATCCCTTCTTTAGTTATTAGTGGGGTGGATCTTTTTTTTTTCTTCCTTCTTGTTTTTTGTTTTTGTTTTTGTTTTGTCTCTTTCTTTTCGGAACCAAAAGTTGACTTTCGGGTCTTGTTCCCTTGTCACTGCCGATCCTGGTTCTTTTCCTGGTCCTATATGCAGTGATAATATATCCTATCTTTAGGAGATGGCAGTCGATCACTATTAAACAATCTTTCTTCTCCATCTTGTTGCAAATGGTTGTGTGGGAGGTGATTTCAACGAGACTCCATTTATCCGATTAGCTTAACTTAAAAGATCCACTTCAAAGTGCCTTAACTTACTAAGGATAGTAACAAGAAACCAATAGACACTAAGAGGATCCTGATTCAAGTGACATTTGTGCCTAATGAAAAGCTAAAGATCACAGGGAATCCTTGTGTGCTTCCTCATTTTATGGGATGATGAAAATGAGACACTTGCTTCTTGGGAGAAATGGATTTAGGTAATCAGTAGTAATAATTTATTCAGAATGCTCACATGATGTACATTACCTTACTAGTCCGTGTTCTTAAGGTCACGAGGAAGTCACTCAAGCACTCTATTTCCTGCGTCAAATCTCCTTTCGCTCTCACAGAGGACCCTGGGCTCATATCTTTTTAGAGTGTCTGCCTTGATCCACTTTTTCCGACTTTCCATCACACCCGTCAAGCCTACAGATTTTGTACTACGAGATGGCGTCTACTATTACCAATGGTCCAATCCAATTGCATGATCAAGGGTATACAAGCATCACTGACTATATCACTACATATATTAACTCCCTATTTCCTTTCGCACGGATCTGTTCAGGATGAACTGTTGCTGAACATTGTTATAGGCCACCCAAGCAACATCCGCGGAAATACACTCCCCCGATCTAGTTGATTACGATTGTACGACCCACTGTCCTATAAGGCGAAACGAGTTTGTGGGTATAGTTAGATGATCCGCCTTCGGGTGCCTTCCGAGCTTTGTGCAACAGTTACCCATTCTTCTAGGGACTGTCCTCCTTGATCTGTGTGGTATCTACGGTTGATGGCGAGGTGAACACTTAGGCTACTAATTCTGTCTCAGGGACTCCAGGTCATCATGGGCCTATGAAGCTATCACCGTATGGCAACGCTGGATGACTGGAGATACTATCCGCGGCTTCCGTAGGAAGGCGTTATCACTGATCTTCAACAGTATACAAATGTTACGCATGATACACTCAAGGATGTGCGATGTTTCTCAAGGCATACCATATATATCGCGTGACATCTCTGTCACCTTGGACATGAATTTTCATGACGGGTCATGGGCACGCGTTGCTAAGTCTTCGGATAGCAACAGAAAATATACCATGAACTTTCAACAAATACTCTTCAAGCAACAGTACGGCAGCACATTGTGCGCTAGCTACATACAC